ATTAAGGTCGAGGTAATCGAGATCTGTGCGAAAATTCACGACAGTCGTTAAACGGTCGCTCGAATCGCGTTTCGAAGAATTCCGCGGGCACGAAAGGAAGCGAGCGGACGATTGGCACGGCTGGTCCGACGTGCGTGTGCACGATTCGTGGTCACGATCACCGGCCGGCCACGTTAATTACCGTTTTACTACCTTTAAGTCGGAGCTTTCGCTAGAATCGTTGCCCGGAATCGCGTAAACTTCGTACGAGCCACGTGACGATCTCGTTCGTGGAATTGTTCGTTCCGTTCGATCGTGTCCCTCTTCTGGATTCACGGAACCGAGCGTTCGAATCAACATTTCGTTTCGATGATCGAGAGACTGGTGTACCAGATTCGTTGAGAATCACGAAATATAGATTCGTTTTATTAGATATTTGTTTACAGGATAGCAGTGGTGATGCTCGATCAAGGTTCGGTTGTTCATTTCGGTAGATCATAAAGACGATTCTTTACGACCCAGGGTAGTCGGATAACGTTTTAAAGCATTTTATCATGACGGGGGTGAAGATGCAGGTCGCGTGTGGCCGGCGGGACTGGCTCGTAAACACTGTCGAGAACATAACTCCTCGTCGGGCTATTTATCTGTCGTGTACCTACCGTACCTCTCGCGATAATGTCCTGTTCAGTCAAAAAACGTCACCCGCACTCGCTACACCTTTCGCGAGTATCGTATAAACAGTTTCGGCAGTGAGCAATCGAATCGTTGGAATTGGATAATTTGGCAGGCAGTCGAAATTCAATTTGTCCCAGAAACTGTGTCGAATCCCGATGGGAAACGTCGTCGATCATGTCGAAGCTTCTGATTGCCACGAGCACCGACGTTCGAGGACGATAGAAACGTTCGTCGACTTTTAATCCGGTCGCACGCGAATCGCAAATTAATCCGATCGAAATCTCCGCGCTTCCGTGCCACGTAACCAATTAATCAAGAAGTGAACACCGAAAAACGGTATTGTCGTCGGACCTAAGCGTCGATAGAGATTTTATAAACGATCTCGCGAGTTCTCTAATCGTAAACTCGCGGAATCGATTTTAAATAGGTTGCCGAATAGCAAACCCATAGATGGATGGAGTCGGCGCTGATCGAACGTTCTTTCGTCGGTACCAGCGGAGAGTGGACCTTCGGAGAATCTGAAACCGAAGTTTTGGCCGTTTTCCACCGACCATAAATCCTGATGGACGTTTCGGGTTCTATCTAATATTATGAATGGCAATAATGCATCCGGCGGTGAGGGATATAAAAGCGATGATTTATCGTATCGTATGAAACAGGCAAACGTTTGACAGGAAACTCATTTCCGTACCCCCGGCAAAATTTCGTTCCTTTTCGCTCGTTTCACGGACACGCGGGGCAGCGAGGAACGGAGGCAAGGGGTGGAGGCCGAGGGATAGTTAGAACTGCTTAGCTTAGCGTGTCGCCGTAACACGAATTCCTCTCGTTTCAATGGTGGCACGTAATGCAGCTTTCGCGTGCGTTCCCATCGATCGGCCCGAATATCACCGAACCGTGATCTGCCAGCTGTGGGAAATAAAGGAACGGAATACCAGAGGCCACCTCTATTCGCACCTTTTACAGCGGTTCTAATAAACAACCCTCCGGTCTGACCACGTACCTTCGCGTTCCTTGTATCGTCAATTTTTTTATCAAACGCGAATCAGTAGGAATTTGCGTTGTAAAATGCCTCGCCACGCCGACGATGGTTCAGACGTAATAGAACTTTCGTCGACCGACAATTCGTTTCTTATTACGCCGAATGGTACAAATTCGTGGGTATCAAGCGTACAATCAAGAATTATCATTTCGTTTCATCAGATTTATTTATGTATGTACATAGGCAGAATAATAATCGGGAGGAGACTGCAATAATTATGTACACGTAGCTATCTTATCTCGTAATATTTGTGTTCAAAACGTATAACTCGACGGTCACGAATTCTGTACCTGAGCATAGATTCGAGTCATGCATTCTGAGCAAACATTCGCGTAAGCGTAAGCAATCTCCACAAATTTCGAAGGGATCCCGTGTTACCCAGCAAATTAAAGTCGTATACAACGTTGTTCCAACTTGCCGCGTGAATCCCAAATTTCCCTGCGCGCTGCACCACCCTCGTTATGAAAATACTGCGGTTATTAATACTTATTAGCCCTCGAGACATTTTCAACGGTATCAAAAATCATCTGAATCCGCTGCGACGAGCGCAGGATATGATTAAGTAATATTGAATCAAACGCCTAGTTTTCACATTTTATTCTCGAGCTTCGCTGGGTCCAATGCAAACGAATTAAATCTGGTATTGCACGTGCATTTTCCATTACAGAACAAAGTAATGGCTGGAACATTTGTACAAACAGTCTCCCCGTAGAAAATGAATTTTTAACAGGAGAATAGCGTTAGAAATTACTCGACGCCACGGATATACGCATAGACCGTCTTGCAGCGAGCCAGTTTGACGGCTACGGTTTCCCCGTGCTTCGTCACCCGCTAATTTAGTCCGCGCGATCACGGTTAATTTCGTATCTTCAAACTTCAAAAGGATTCGGCCGATTAAATCCGACACGCGGTAGTTGGCGTCGTAAAAGGAATTTTACAGAGACGTGTACTCGGTACATACACGCGGTGCGCACACACGTTATCTTTCTCTCAGCATCCGCTAACTCGTCTAACGTATCTCTCGTTCGGCTATATGTATAATATAGAAGTTTGTTCGAAGTTTAATCATACGCGTTAGACTTAGACTGGAGGCAACTAACAACCGGAGCTCATCCGGCGTGTTCCCGTGCGCCCGTTAGCTCTTCTGATGACTTAAACCTCGTTTCACATTTACTTGTATTTGCTCATCCGGAATTAGTTTCCCTATTTATGCAATCGGCGGTACAGATAATTGATTCGATTTCTTTGCCATGATTGACAGAATTTTCTACATCGTTCTAAAGAATGACAAGTCTGTCTATCTGTATGCTATTGTCAAAAAGCTCGACATTTGTCAATGGTTTAATCTGGATATTGGAAGGCATTCCAATTTCGTATGGGCAGCAGGGTTTAGATTAGTGTATTCGGTCTGCGAATCGTGCGTTCCGCTGATAACGAGGGACGCGATATCTGATAGCGGATAAACCGTTCTCGCCCAGGTGAATAATAAGGTGCGTCGGCGGTTGATGCGGGAAAATTTGATTTGATATATTGCCGGCCAATCTCTCTCTCCGTGCGCGCATGTTAATACCAGGTTTACACGCGAAGCACTTGGAAATTTCGGGTTAAGTAGAATAGAAGCCCGCCTCGTATCTGTGCCAGTCCTCGATTCGTGATTTGCCAGATTTATTTGTTCTCTTCGTTCATCTGAATTTATCTCGTCGAGCGAACGATAGCAGCGGGACGATGACGAGAATGTAAATTCGACGAAGCCGATGCGACGAGGCATCGTCGAGAGTTCCGACGAGTTACTTTTCGCGTGTCAAAAATTTCAACATCCTCCTCGAACTCTTCGCGATAATATCATTAGTACAAGCTCGAAAGTTTCCCTTTAATGCTTACAAATGAGCAAACTTTGGAACAAACTTGCACCTGGTTCCCTCGGGATAATTGCTACGTCAAATTTATAACACCGTTTTTTCGCATCATTAACAATTTCCTGTTCGGATCAAAACCGACGCGCCGAGTATTCTTCACGATTAGCGGCGATCGACCGAGAAAAATGTTTGCCCGACGATTAATCGAGAAGATTGTTCAGTTTATTTACTTGCTTCCATAAGGAGGGATTTATCGAGCTTACGAGAGTTCGTCGACGGCCGAATTAAATCAGTGGCCAAAAGGGACCAAACGACTGTCGGCAGTTCCTGTTTCACTTTAGCCTGGTTTTCCGAAGCGTATTCTGGATTTAGTGAAAATGGAGCCAGCGGTCGTACAGCCGTACTCGCTGCCTTTAAATTAGAGATAAATTCAAAGTTGGTAGCAGACCGCAATCGAAGCTGGCTATCAGGATGTTCTAGAATTAATGAGTCCAATGTAGCGTAACACCCAGCGATTCGGGGCACCGTCGGTCGACTTATGCAGGATCCGCACTTTCCGTACCAACTTCTGCGAGCCAACAAAATCAATACTGTAGTAATAAAATAATAGTGTATAATAAAGATTACGGCTCTGATTTTGCCTGGTTCCGACCAACTATGGATACGCTGCAAATACGGATGCACTCTGTTGAGAATAATACGGGTTCGACTTTAAGAGTCCGATTAGGCGATCGTGACCGAACTTTGTGTTCCGACGTAATGGATAATGGATTAAAAGAGCTTCGGTTCCGGCGATTACCCGCCGTTCCGGCTTAACGAGTCGGTTGAATAAAATCATGTAATTTAGTTGAAACAACGGAATTTAGACTGGATGCACAGCAGTTCCGTATGCGTGGCGTTCTTACAGCAAACATTTTTCTTCCCCGTCGACGACGCGTTCGTCGAATGCTTTTCTGATTAAACGTAGCAGCGCATGCCAAGTTTCCGCGATGAAGACAGCACGTAGGTATCGAGTAACGCCAGGAATCCGAATAATTCGAACAGGGGTAGGCAAGGGGCGCGCTCGATATAGCCGCATGATTCATTACTCACCACGTTCATCTTCAACTTATATTTTAATTCGTGCAACGAGTTTTCCGGGGTCGCCCCGGCAACGACGAGCAATTAATTAGTCCTAATTATCTAAACGATCTGGGTCGTCAATTTCCGATTTCCCGTGTTCGCTTCACGCAGTGAAACGATCGATGCAGGCAACGTTTTCGTTGGGCAAAATCCAGTTTGGAGATCGACTCGTTCTGAGAGATAATAAACGGGTTAAGAGTTCGTCAGAAATCTCGTAGTTGGCGTTTTCGCACTTCTCGTTCAGTCGGCTCGACGTAGATCGTTCTCTCACCGAACGATCTTGATCGTCGATCCAGATTCGCTGACCATCGGTGAATCCGTGATTGCAGGGCCACGAGAGGTGGATCGTGCGAGCGGTAACGGCGAACGGCTGAGACGGTCAGCGGCGGTGGTTCGCGTATACCGGCTCGAGTGAGGATTCCCATGAACGGCCGGAACCTGCCCGGAATCCCATGGTCGAGAAGAGGAGCGAACGAGCATGACGTAGCCGTCGATGCGGGGGGCGCTTCGGATGCTCCGTACTGGCGACGACTAGGCTCGTATGGAGGGGACGAACGCAAACGCAACGGAAGGCAGCCTGCTTCTGAACCAGACCGACTCTCTCCAAGGGTTCCCCGGCAAGAATTCACCCTACACGACCGCGCAGGTAAGACTTTGTCTACCTAAGTCCGTCTTTCGACTGCGAATCCTCCAGCGAATCTCACAGGGTACAGTCCAGGGAGTCGAGACGTAACGAGCTCGTAAAACGCGTCACAGTTTATGGTTCGAGTAATCGCGACGGGATTTTTGGGCTGGCTCAAGTCCTCGTGATTCGTTCAGGCCTGTACGAACCACATTTGTAGTACTGATACAAATTTAAGGAGTACCTCTGATACTCTTAAGGGACTCATAACTCACGAGGATATCTCTTACGGTCTCTAGACAGCTGAGATATTTTCTCCGTATCAGAAGTAGTGCATTTCACCTCGCCGCGTTTGTTCCTTCAACTACATGCCTGCAAGACGCGTGGTATAGGCTTGGTCCTGACCGTTCCAATCGTATTGAAACCAAACATTGCTGTAGCTAAAAAGAAGTCGATTAACCGATGCAGTTAATTAAAGTTTCCCTCGTCGAATTTAATTTGCACACCGAAGGTATGCAAAGAACGTTTGAAAACTTCCCCTCTTCTATAGTATATGATAAACTTGGGTATATCTTGTAACCAAAACCAGTCGGCGATCCTCAGGGGGATTAGACCGAAACCCATTTAACTTGCTCTAACTTTTGACAGCGCGGATACCGTAGATATCGAGGAAAGATCATCGATCCGGGATTAATATAAAGACCGTGAATAATTATGGCTGGTATGTTTGCAATAAAGCGATTTCGTAACGCGCAGCGTTCGTGCGCGTCGTCGTTCGGTCGCGAACTTCCTGCGGTTCGCGAACTTTCACAGCTACACAGTTAACGATAAGTATATAATTAGTTTAGGTCGAACGTTTAACGTCGAGGCGAAGAGAGGAACTGCCAGCTACCTCCTCTACCCTCTTTTTAGTAATTCTGGAGGAACTCGCGAATAACTCGGTGTAAATAATTCTCGTCTCGTCGGGTCCCGAAGAAATTTAATAACAGTCGTAATTATCGTCTTGAAGAAAATATAGATGATCCTATTAAGTCACAAATATTTACTTAGGGGAAAGCGTGGGATTCTAGCGAATACAATTTTTATTAATGTTTCGGGATCGTCTGGCTTGTCATTTCTCGACGTTTCTTCTCTCTGAAATTCCTCTGGAAGATACTGCCAGAATCGTGACTTAAATCGAGTCTCTCGAAACGAACGGCTATGGATTCTTCTAGTTGAAAATTCCATCGCGAGGAATTCGAGCCGTTTCATAAAACTTCCATAATACGCGTCACTGTCCCCATAAACTTCCTAACTACCTCTCAAAATAAGGAATAGTTGATCGGAGAACTGTTCGTAAGCATCGCGCGATGCGATCGATAACATTTTTCTTTCGAATGTTCTATTAAAATCCTAATTATAAAAAGTTTCCTATTTTCGAGGTAATTCTTGCTCGGCGATTTTCTTGCCAGTTTGATCTCTTATAAATACTATTCTAAAGGAAAAGTTGAAATTCTAATCAGAAGTTGGATGATTTAAACTTGCTCCCTGGCACGAGCCAACGGTTGACATTTCACGAGTCTGAGTGGTATGGGAAAGTTTCAACAAGAAGTATAATGTTGCCGAGTTTTGCTCGCAAAATACACTGAAATACATGTGATATTCTCGATGAAAGAATTCTCCAAGCATACGCGATCCATTTTGTTGAAAAGTTAAATCCGATCGATCGTTCTTACATCTTCCACTGGTCATTGATTACGTCCGAGAACGTTCTCTTTATTTCCTAAATATTGTTCCAACCGGTAAAACCAGATAAGTATCCACTGTTCTTATATTTCTATAGAAACGTTATATCGGCTGACGTGAATGCTGGTTCTCAGAAACAATGCAAGCTTCTTAACCATAACTCGAAAGTCTTTCCGTTGGTAAAAGTATAAATCAAAGCAGCGGGAATAAAACAGATATTGCTACAAAGTCCGGAACCCAGTCTATTAATCACGGTACACCGATGTACGCTTGACCACTGACTCGCTGCAAAACGTGCAATCACTTTTACTTTTCCGTCGCGTTTTCCCGTAATGCCGAATAGCAATTTGTACATCTGCGAATCGTTTTTCCGATAACGAATTCGAGAACCGAACGTTTATCGCATAATTAATAGAAACGTAATTGAGGTGAGCAATTCTGCCGACGACCGTTCTCCCGGGATTAAACATAATAATCGGATTGCGCGATTTCCATCGAGTCAATCGAATAAAAAGCCTAATTCCAACCTGACGGTATTCATGGAAAACACCTGCGATTATTGTATGTCAATGGATCGGTTTAAACGCTGGGACGTGGAATGGAAAATATTTAGGTGGGGCCGATGGTCGTCTCTGTATCCGATTTTTCGGAAAAGCCCTCGAAAAGATAAATTACTGGCACAAGTGTCCTCCTCGGTTCAATTATGATTAAATGTATAAACAGTTCCATGAACGCCGGTAGCGAAACGTTTTAGTTCGATCCAAACAAATCAGGATTGCACGCACTGCATTTGTTATTTCATCTCCCATTTATATGTATTCCTCTATTTTGTCGACGCGTGCAAATGCGTAAATCTCGTTTAACATTATTTAGTAAAATGTCGCAAGACCTCGGGACGCTTCTAATATGAAGATGTTCCTACGCAAAGTAGACGCGCTCGTGCATCGCGGACAATTATAGTAAATTTATAGTAAATATGTGCATACGTAAGTATTATTTATGTACATATATATGTATGTACGTACGTAGTGAACCAAGAGAGCAGACGCTATAACAATGCACGTTGGTAGCTGGCTATGATTTACGTCGGTTCTTGTTTCTGGATTCCGGACTTTACCTCTCGTAAGTTGCGCACAACTTTTAAGAAGCTCCTCTCTCCCTCTTTCTCCTTGTGTGCGCGATACTTGAATCTTGCAGCAGTAATGTATGTATGCGCACAATTTATGATCCCCCGGAGCACGCGGAACAATAAATTGCACAAATATCGAAATAACTATAAAAGTCGTAACCTTCGTATCTTCGGTTCTCCGCGAGTAAAAGTGCCTTAAAAACTGCGTCGGTCGCGGGAGCTTCGAACAGAAAATAAACATTTATTACGGCGTTTGAAGTTACCGAAAGTTTAAGGGAGCAGCTGCGAAATCAGTTAAGCCTCGATAAAGTGTATAATCATTGGCAGAAAGTAAATTTGATTCGCGGGGCTGTTTGAGACGATTAAGAAAAGTCATTAAGGAGTATAAATAAAGTACGGAAGTCGTTTAAGAAGATCGTTCTACTTGGTTCCCTCGTATAATTCAATTAGTAGAATTGGATTAAGACTAGAGTTCTTCTGCGTACTCGTCGAGATCGATGCGTCGCACGAAATATGAATTTATAAAAAGTCGACTCAGATCGATGATCCATACAGTTGGAATCGGCATGAGGGGAAAATCGAATTTGTCTCGTGCTCGTGTCGCCGTACATCTGTATCTCCTGAGTACGCGGGGTTTGTTTTCATCCATCATAGACGAGCTTCCGTGGCTGTTCCACCAGCAGCTCGCTAGATAGCTGAACTTCGGCCAGTATTATTTCCCGTTGCGAGTGATAGCTCTATCAATTTGCTCTCCGAGAGACGTCTAATTCCAGGCTTCTCCCAAGAATTAACTTACATATCTCCTAGCAGCAGTCATCCCGAGCATGTAAATGCATTTACGGTCTCCGTCCTGAGCGTCCGCAGACACTCGGTTCGCTGGCGGCGGACCGAAAATTATGCGAACGTCCACTCGTCGAAAATTCTTTCGAGTAACAGGCGTTGTTTCGCCGGCCACTCGAGTGGGCAAACAGAGAGCGAATAAACAAACAAATCCGTGAGACGCGAAACGATGATTCTCGTTCGAAGCGAATCGGTGACGCGATTTAATCGGCTTTGAAAAGGGAAACCCTGCCCGCTTTCCGAGCGCCATTCGTTTCCCGATTTCGGCCGCTGTTCACGCCGATTTACATCGTCGTTCTCGGTGTTACGCGTAACGTGAAATAATACCGCGGCCGCGGCCAATATCGCTGAAAATCCAATGACGCATGTTACGCGGAGCGTAACAACGTCGTAATTTTTCCGATGGAGACGGGTGGACGCGCGGGTACAGGCGCGTCCTGATAAATAATGAACGCGTGCTCGGCGCTCGCAAGATTATCTTAAATTGAACTCTGCACGGTGGTCAATTTAATTACACGGCCCGTTTTAATCTCGCTCCGTCTCGTTGTTTAATCTTCCTCCTGTCGTACACGTCGTTTAATATACTCGTACTTCAGAGACGATATAACGAATAATTCGAAAAACGAACGATTAGAATATATTTCGACGTCTACCAGGTTGGCGTACGAAAATTATACATGTAGAATTAAACGAAGCCATTTTTCTTGGACGGGTTTAGAGCCAGAGAATTTAGCACTCAAGCGTTGCTAGTAAATTCAAATGAAATTAACAAAGGGTCGAATACGGCTCGAGGTAATGGCGTAGTCCATAAATAGCGTCTCCGCGCAATCGGAAAACTGTTATATATCGTAGGTAATCGAGTTATATCTGGCGTAGACTACTAAAGAAACGCGAGAACGTGTTCCGTGAGATTTGATAGATAAACATCCAATTTATATCCAAATCGGGAACAGAACGAAACCCCTATCGATCGTAACTCGACGTGAACGCAATGACAAGTGTCCTTACCGATAACCGTTTAAGGACGTATTGGCTATATAGTCAATACCAAAAGTTCATGTACCTTAGAAAACCGCATTTCCTATAATTAAAAATAGTGCAAATCACTATAATTTTAGATTTTTAATAGTATTAGGAATCTATAATAACAAGTTCAATATGCCAGCATTGTTTAAGTATACATATGTATAGCCTATATATCCTTAAGTCCTGTTATTCATACTGATGAGAACTTGGTATATGCAAGCATGAATATTTAAAAAAGAAATAATTGTAATTGTTCGCGTACTTTACGCCTTCCTACATCAAATGCATGGGGGCACATAACTTGATTGTTACGGCATTGGAAACACGGGAGTATATGCGCAGGCTTGAATCACCTCACGTGATTCTCCGCGCGACGAATCGGCGATACCGATTCTTCGATAGGTGCGTTCGATCGACGAATCGGCGATACCGATTCTTCGATCGGTCCGTTCGGTCAACGAATCGGCGATACCGATTCTTCGATCGGTCCGTTCGATCAGTCCGAGTTGGATACTGGTACTGATCAGTCGCCGTATTTTTGCTCTCCTTAAGAGAAGTTGCGAGTGCTTGGTGCGTCGTGTTTTTGTGAATTTGGACCTATTCGCATATCTAATAAATGTAATAGCATAAATGTTTTATCGAATTACAGGCAATACTCATTGCGCTGGTGCTCGGCAGCATAATCGTCGGTACGGTGATCGGGAACACACTGGTCTGCGTCGCCGTGTTCCTCGTTAGGAAGCTGCGAAGGCCGTGCAACTATCTCGTGGTCAGCCTCGCGGTCAGCGATCTCTTCGTCGCTCTCCTGGTGATGCCGATGGCGATGCTCTACGAGATCTCCGGTAATTGGTCCTTCGGCCCATTTATGTGCGACGTTTGGGTCAGCTTCGACGTGCTCAGCTGCACGGCCAGCATCCTCAATCTCTGCATGATCTCCGTCGACCGGTGAGTGCCCCGATGCCACTCGATACCCTTGGTCAGTGGTCAGAAATTGAGTTTCATAAACAGTCGCGATCCTCGGGAAACTTGATGTACGCGTTCAAATCTGTAATTAGTTAACATTGATCGATAGCGTTAACAGAGTTCGGCACCGATTCGATTCCGGAACCACGTAGACAAATTATCCTGTGATTAACAGTGTCCAACGTTAGTAGACGTTAGGAGAATTCATGTCGTAGACATAAGTGAGTATACTGAGAGTATCTGTTGGTGTACGTCTGTGTACCAAAAGATAGAGAAAAGATCCTTCGGAGGAGTCCCTGACTTTCTTCCTCTCCACATTAAGAGAAGAGGAAGAAACACTGCTATTAATTTCTTTTTAATCGTGATAAACGCGGTTGAGTTTTGCACCCCCGCGAGTCGTCACGTGCACATTAGTTTCGGAAGCAGCCTTGAAAATACGACTTCCTTTTGGCACGTGGTCGAACGCAAGATTGTTTGTATACTCAGTGTATTCGCACTGAACGAGATCGTTCATGGTTCATTTCGAAACAGTGGCCAGTGATCGAGATTTTATTAGAATCGTTCGTTATTCCTGTGCACAGCGTGCGACGACGATAGACGCCTACGCGCGGTACACAGCTTCTCGGTGCTCTTCACTTATTAACCGGGCTAAATAACGTTGTTTCTCGGCTACTTTTTGCTGGGAAACCAACGAGGGTGTTCCCAGCTTGTAACCAATGGTTCGTACATGCCGGTTGTAAAAACTGAACGACGCGTCGTTCGAGGTATTTCACGTAGCTTCGTTCAACTTCGTATCGAACTCTGTTGGTGCGGAATAATGTAGCACCGTGGGTATTTTCTTTGCGTTTGGTACAAGTTGACGTACGTACTCGTGACAAGTGGTCTCAGAGGAAACGAGGAAGACAGGAGGAAAACGATAACAGAATATATATACACATATATATATATGTATATATGTACATGGTCAGTGGACAGATAGTTCAGGGAGAGCGTTGTTTAATCAGACCGTGTCCTCGTGTTTTGTTAACGGCAGGAGGAAATATATAAGGTCCGGGTTTCTGTCCGCTGTCACAGGTTCTGCGCCATAACGAAACCGTTGAAATACGGCGTAAGGAGGACGCCGAGACGGATGATCGCCTACGTGAGCCTTGTTTGGTTAGGGGCGGCCTGCATCAGTTTGCCACCCCTGTTGATTATGGGGAACGAACACAATTACTCTGAGGACGGTGCGTTCCACTGCAGCGTTTGCCAGAATTTCTTCTATCAAGTCTACGCGACGCTCGGCAGTTTCTACATGCCACTCTTCGTCATGATCCAGGTAAATCTCTTACTGCACTACTTCCTCTGTTGTCTCGTCTCAAAAGAGTGCTTTTGTATTTAAATAAGTACTGGAGAAAAATTCCTTTTGCCACGTAAAGTCAGTTTTACATAATGCAGACAGATAATTAATTTGTAAACGCAGCACACTAATGAGGACAGTTATTCTTCTTCAGTTCCTTGCCTTTATAATATGCAACGCTTATGCCAGAAACTGAAGTTTCATAATTATTTCCATACCACCGGCAAACTGTTGATCCCGTTGAAATTAATCGAGTACGTAACCGATGGAGCACAATAATTAGGGGATCATGGGGATTTAATTTAATGATATATCGGCCGACAACAAAGTTATCTTGATCTAATGAAGCTTGATTAATGTGTTAGAAAGTGTTGGCTAAGTAGGTGCGTTAAGTGCAGAGACTATCAAGACTGATGATTATAATTTCTAATTGAACTCCTCGCTCCAAATCAGATCGTTCCTCAAAACTTGATAAACTGTATCAGCTCCTTTATTGAAATTTTGCTCACAGTAGAGTTGACTTTAGTCTAAAATTAGTATTGACAAGAGTAATTAAAAAAATATCCAAGTGTTTGATCAAACGAGTAAGTACATTCGCATTATTTCACTTTTAACGAGCTCCTATAAATGAGTTTCCATTATACTATAAATTACGTAATTATTCAACGACTCGAAAGGTGCCCAGATGTTCTCCCAGCCTGTAACGAAGATCTTTTATTGCTCTATTTGAAATTATTATTGACGCTTCTCTTTAACAATAATTATTCTCAATTAAATCGATTTTGCAATTATTCCTTCTTCATTTACTGGCCAGACAAAAATGCAAACTGTATGACACATAATTCCGAGTCCTACATTCATCGAAGTAGAAATTCAATGATAATGCTTCTTAAAAAAATCAGTAATTTCCTATAATTACGAAATTCGTGACCCAGCTCGATCCATTTTATTTACGCACGAGTCATACAGAACTCCGTAGAAAGTAATATTTATCGTCACTTTCATTTTCTGTTTTAACACGTGCCAGTATCGTTTTTTAAACATTCAAACTAGAACAGCTCATGAATTTCTATTCAACCTGGCGTGGGCTCGTTAAATCGAACGATTTGTCGGTGTTGTCGTCGTCGTCGGCCGTGGCAGAGGCTAGTGCGGGGGAGGCCGGGGATTGACTTTGGACCTTGGCGTCCCCGAAATTGATTGGACGTTTCGCGTGCGGCCGGCAAACAAACCCGCGGATATAATTGACGGGGAACCAGTGCTCCGCGTGTAACGAGTAGAAAATAAACGATGCCCGCTGTCGCGTCGTACTTTCGCGGTCGCCGTGTCCACGCGTTAACGCGAATTGACATAATAACAGTTAAATAATTACCAACGTCGAGCAGAGCATCGTCGCTCTGACCTGGTAGTTTTAGTGCTAGGAGTTGTTTCTTCTATGAATTATATATTTTAGGTCATCGAGAAGAAATCGAATCCTCTCGGATTTCAACGTTATTAAATGAATTGGCAATGCAATTGCAGGTGTACTACAAGATATTCTGCGCGGCTCGCAGGATAGTCTTGGAGGAGAGAAGGGCGCAGAGCCATTTGGAGGCGCACTGCTACGTGGACATAGAGCCCCCGACGCAGCATCATCACACGGCCACTGGGAACCGTCAATCGAATTCCGACGAGCAAACCAGCCACGGAAGTCCCCACGTGAAGCAGCATCGAAGCTCGAGCACCTCGACGACGGTGAGTGCCATAAACGACAATTGATTCTACACGATCGCACACGCGATATCTTATCTTTCCGCGAGCGCTGATCATATCGATGCAATTTAGTCGGTCCTTGGATCGAAACGATGAGAAGGGACTGGTAGCACGAGAAGTCACATGTTAATAAATCTACGGTTCTGTCGTTTCTTTGGCTCGGTCAATGAAATTGCCATTCGACCAAAGTAGTGAATCAGCGCGTTCAGCGTCAGTGAATTAAAACGATAAATCACAGAAGTTTCTCTCGATTTTACCAACACACGTTTTTCTAATTCACATATTTATTAACATGTGTAACCCTGTGGTAGAATTATATTTTATGTACTATGCAGCCGTCAGCGGCGAGTCACAAACGCTGAATTGCCGCTCGCTTACGCACGAATCGTCCTTTCCATTACGGGTTACGGATTTCATTCGATAAAAATTCGTGATTCACTTTTCATGTTCCACCGTTCTTTAATTACTGCAAATAAAATCAACAGTCGTCGTTTCACAACCGCGACGACTACGTTGTAATTACGCACAAGCCACGATAGGGGCTCGGCCGTTTTATTATTTACAATGAAAATGAACGACGAAAGGTCGAACAGCGAGAAACGATTTCACCCTCGCGTCGATTTAATGGTCCAGATTTCCGCGATCGCCCGCCGCAAATTAGCATTGGCTTTCCGCACGAGTCCGCTTCGGTGTACTTGAAACGGTACGTCGCATCGCATCGCTTCCCGTCGAAACTGTTTAACCAGTCGCGATTCCCCAGCTGCCACCGCGGGTCTCTATCGGAATCTGATTTTCATTCGGCGCATAAACAAGGAGCATTCTGTTCCCTGATTCTGCAAATCGTTTCGTCACTGACGATCATAGTTTCTAACTAATAGACCGTTGATTTTTGGGAAGTAAAGTTAAATGGTCTACGAACGCGCGACTTTATAGAGAAATGACAGACGACAGGGCGTTCGTTGGTAAATAATTCTGTACGAGCAATCTTGTAAACGGTCGAAGTAACGCGATGAGTTTAATTAAGTTGGCCCGATAGTCGAAGATGATTAAAATTCTGAAACGGGACCGAGTATTACAAATTACGTTCGAACTTTCTCGTGCACGTGTCATGCATAGAACCTTATGGGTAGCCGGGTGTACACACGCGTCGTATCGTTGATAAAGTCAACTTTATTCCCTGGCTTGACGCGAAATCGCATTAACTCAACGTTTGTAGAACCTTGTCGTAACATCGCGTAAGCCGCAACGGCAGAATAATTAATGTCGCGGGGCAGACTCGGACATAAAAGCCAGCGTTTCTCACGGGAACTTCGTTACACGTTTTTAAAAATGTTTCGATCGCAAAATTTTGTGCGAAACCACGCGATCTCGTGATATTAGCACGGTAGAACGGGTGTCAAAGAATCGTAGAGATCTCATTACATTTTTCGTCGAGGGAAAAACGATGGGAATTTTTTATTCGGATTCTGGAAAAATGTGGGAAATTCGCGTGGAGAGATGCAGGCGCGACATCGGGTGACGTTGTCGCGCGCTTTTACGGACGGTACGATTTCTACAAATAAAAGAATGGTTTTCGAAACGCCTCCGAACGTGCTCTCGTACCGAAAACAATTCCGATTTTTCTAATTGCTCGGTGAGTACTGTTTTCGTTCCGCGGAAACGGGATACCCGGGATTTCTGTAAATACGTTTCAGATATTCGCGAACCAAGGAAACTAAAGTTTTAGTTTGAAAATTACTCGCGAAAATCGTAGCTGTTTAACGAAGTCTGTGATTAATCGATGAATTGCGTTGTTAAATATTTTCGTTCTCACGACGATAGAGAGTTGGAGTAAAATAACAGAAGAGGCGAAGAAAAGGGAGGTACATATGCGCTGGGATACTAAACATCTTTCTCTTCCGTTTTATCCGGTAGTTAAGGAAGACCACGTATACGTGTAACTGTACCTAGCAAAGGGAAAACAACGTTTCTTCCCTCAAGATAAATTTCTTCCTCTTGCGCGTGTCGCGATAAATCTTCCGCTTTTTAACGAAAATTTAAAGCTTAACGAGCAAGAATGATATCGTTCAGAGGCGAATCGAAATCCGCCTCGGCTTCCAGCTTTATCTCTTCCTGCGATGGGGGAGTCCCATAATTTTCTGTTCACAGTGAGAACTCCGTTTCCAGATTTAGTAATAAACGGTTTCCACGAGTATCTATCTCTACCTTTTTTCGCGATAGGATTAAGTGGTTCGCGAGTGGGTTCGAATTTTATGCTATTGCATCCGAGCCTTCTATAAATTAACTCGCAGCTTTCACACGCTGCTTTCTTTTCTCAAACGATAAAAGATCGTGCGCAGGCGTTTTTATTTTAATACAGATTCGTTCCGGATTAAAATGATAAATTTGGATACAATCGTTCTTCGTACAGTCAGTATTTGAAAGAATTTAACAATCAGAAATTAGATATCCATCGGACGTTAAATATTTGGTAATAAAATAAGTTTTTGTCTCGGATGACGATCTTCCTATTAAAGCTTGATCTCGTTTCTAATCTTTTTCTTCGTTTCTCCATCTCGGAAGTGGCTTCGAGATACTGCTTGAAACACAGTATCCGCGTTAAATTCGCAGAATAGGGTCGCAATCGTGAGAGTCTTAACGAAAGATAAAACGGAGGAAAAGAAACGAAAGAGAAAGGAAGGTGGAATCGTAAAAAGTAGAGGGAAACTGGGTTTTCGTTAAATACGGTTTCTGTCTCTGGCCAAGAAAATCAATTGTGTGTACGATGCTTTCCGAACCAACTGATTTTTAATTTTTTAAGAAACTCCTCTCACTCGTACATAATCCCGGTTTTATTTATGAATCAACGTACAGATACGATTTCAATTGAATTTAATTTTATCTACAGACAGCAGTGTCTCGGTCTCTATCAAAATCGCACGTGTATCAACTTCTTTGATACTTATTTTAAATGATTCTAGGCTCGTTTCACTCGAATACGTTCTGCTCGTCGTAAACGTGGCCGCGTACAAGGATCGCATCTTTTAAATTGCCTACACAATTTACGGCACACGACACGTATAAAAGGTCCGATCGAATAAAGTTGGATTTCCGCCAAACACGCCCGGACAGATGCGTGAGGAGAGTCTCATGCATCTTTCATCGATAACGTCGGGCTTCCGCCCCGATATTCGTAGCCAGGGCCATAGATCCCGCACGGGTGATGCCTCATTTTTAAAAGGAATTGTTTACACGAATTATTTGGCCAGTGTCCAACCGCCCTTCCTCACTTTCCTCTTTCGGATTCTCCGTCCACGTCGCATCTTCTCGCTCGACGGTAATTAAAAAGCCGATCGGATAGGATGATACTCGCGTGAAAATATTTTAGAAATCGGAAAGATTCGCGAGATCATCGAGGAACGTGTGAAAAATAACGATCGTATCTTACGCCGCGCATGGAACATTAATTATGTTAATACGATTAACATGATGGTACAAATTAATTTGTTGCGAACATCGCGACATAGTAATTTGTTATGCCAGATAATAAATCCCTCCTGATCGCGAACGACTCGACGAGGGCGCATAATTGATTTTGCGAATGCAAATTTCTGTAGGACAGAGAATCCGGTAAAACCGTGAAACAGGGGAATGTACACGGAGCCACGGAGGTAACGAAGTGGCGTGCATGTATACACGCGCACACGTTTCGTTCGGGATAAAATATGATCGCGTCGCGTCGTAATGTAAAGAAAAATACGTTTTATAACGTCGTCTCGCGTAAGAATTCCTCTCTAGCGGTGTTATAAAGAAAATTTCTCCCCGCGACACGCCACGGAGACCGATCCGCGCATATTTCACGGGGTCCACGTACAGTGTACTTTCGATACATGTCGTAAGCACTCTCTATTTTCCTCGGCGAAATGTATTAACGTTCCCGGTTTGACGTATAGTGGCCGCGGAAAAGCATTGGCATTCGCTGTCATATTTCACGCGACTGCGTTCGATTCCCGGTTCTTTACCGCACATCGGGCTATTGAAATGAACCAGGAGAGATCCGATCCTATCGGTGGTCGCGACGGCGGATAATAAAAACGCGGTCTCTCCATACTTTAATTCGGCATAAAAGTGATCCGTCGTTTCGTAAATTCTATTTGATACAGTTTCGCGTCGCGGGGATTAAATTATTTCGGATCGACGCGAACGGATAGGCAAAACGGCGGCGAATTACGGGTACGTGACCCAATTGTTACGTTTCTTACACTGGTTTCGAGGGAACGGAGCGCGCGCGCGCTGCTTCCGTTCCGGCTCTAATTGGTTTATTCCCGGGTGGCTCGTTTACTTTTATTGACGGCCGGCATCGCGGAACGGCTCGTTGTAATTGCGCGTTGTTTATCAGCAAGACGAACAGCCTGCGGGGAACAGCTGGCCGGGCTTCCGCGCCGGCGATGCATTTCGGCACAGCGGTGGCTTGTTTTCGTTGATGCTCCATTCGAAGCCCGTGTCTCGCGGCTTTCGAGAACCGATCTCGATCAGGTTTCAGCACGCCGCGTCCGTTGATCCCGACCTCGACTCGTTCCTCGACAATCAGGGAACGGAAATTAACGAGAAACGATCGATCGTCGATCGATCGATTTTATTATCGCAACGTTTTGATCATAATTGTGTTGGAAGAATCACGCTTCGAGGAATTCTTTTCACGCTTCATCCCCCGTTCATTATTACTTTGCCGTCCATTTATGATGAAGATTCCGCTGTGAAATCCCCGGAGTTCCTTCGCCGGTTCATTTCTACTTGAGACACGTTCTCTGCTTTCATTTTAAAAATACGTTCGTCCCTTCGAAATCGAAATAAAGTATAAAATATAATAGCATCTCTAGAAAAGATGTGGGATAAGACCGTGGACTTTCATACGAGATCGAAATTTTATCAATGCAATGTCGAAAATTGATTCCGGCTTTGAACGCAATATGCATCGTGTGCATCGCGCGTATACATGCATA